TATCCATGCCTCAGTCCATCCATTCCATAACCATTTTCTGAAATGCTATGCTTTTCCCTGTACTTCTTCTGTAGGAACAATGAGGAGGGATACCTAAATCCAGGGTGGAGGTAGGTGGAGGACAGGGGCAGAAAAATCTTCCTAGAGGAAAGATGCCTGAGGTGAATAATAAGAAGGGAATGGGACTTAGCTAGGTTGGTGGATGGAAAGCAGAAAGGGGGCTTATTTCAGGCAGATAGAGCAACAGGGGCCAGTGCCCAGAGGTATGAGAGGACGTGATGAGATCCAGGGACCGAAAGCCGTTTAAACAAATATTTCCTGAGCACTTTACTTGTGCCAGGGGCTGCATTGAGATCTTCTGGAATGAGCTTTGCCGCATGACTACAACAGTGAAGGCCTAATGCTGAACAATTGCTAAGTATTAGGGTGAATGGAACATTTACTAAATAAATTTGAGCTAGACAGCAAAGGCAGTGGAGGAGCATGAGAGACAGGGAACTACATTGTAGTTATTGTCTGCTATATGCCAGAAGCATTACCTTCACATTCTCTGTGATGTTCCATGTACTGCTACAGAAAGAATCCCCATTCGAGATAAAAGATAAACAAATGGAATCCCACTGAAGAAAAGCAAACAAACACTGCCAGCTTTGGGGACTAAAAACACCCATACTTTTTCTACTGTACCATTCTGTCTATCATCAAGAAAGGTCTTCCCTTTGACATATGGCTCCCAGGATTCGAATCTCCCTGATTTTTCCCTACAGCATTTGGAAACAGAGCTTAATCATGCAAGTTATGACTGTAGGGAGTCTTTTCTGAAAGAAGACCCCCTAACAGGGAAACTGAATAGAAAGACTAGAAAGTGGATGTCAGGGAGACATTTGAGTTTGGTGCTTTGGACCAAACCATCTTTCAAGACTCATCTTAAATCCTCTTTCCTTTGACAAGCCTTCCCTGACCACCCCGGACTCTACCCATCTCCCCCTGCACTGCTCTGATTTAGGAGAGAGTAACTGTGCAATAGACTTAGCAATTAATCATACCTGCTCTATCATACCTGCTATAACATGTGACAGCCATTGTACTATTGCCTTAAACTGATATTTTACTCTGGCCTTAGAATTGATCTTTGTGCATGTACATTTTCCCCCAATGAGATTATAAGCACCTTGAGGACAGAGATTTTGTCATAAACATATCTTAAATCCTTCCTTCCTCCCTAATACCTAGTGCAATTCTGTCCACATAGTAAAGGCTCAACAAATGTTTTCTAGTTCCATATAAAAGACCCTGCAAGGATTTCTGAACCAAAAATATGATAGAAATTGAATAAATTAGTTTGAGAAGCAGGTGATTTAGATTTATAACTTATGGTGGAATGCAAAAATTGCCACAATAGTTTAAAGCAATTCTTATCGAGAGGCAGAGTCTATTTCCCCTCTCCTTGATTCTGGGCTGGCCTTGTGATTTGTTTTGACCAGTTGACTGTAGTGAGCATAATGTTGTGTGAGGTCTGAGCCCAGGTGTCAAGAACTCAGCAGAAGAACTGCACAGCTGAGACCAGCCCAAATCACAAACCCACAGGACTGTGAGTTAAATAAATGTTTTTTTTTTTTTTTTTAAATTATAAATCACTAAGTTTTGGGATGATACGTTAGGCACCAAAAGCTAACTGATGCAGGATCTTCTTTAATTATCAGGATAAGCCCATGAGATGCATGTTAGCATCCTACTTTATGAGTTAGGAAGCAAGCATTCAGGAACAATATGATGTGGAATGATCATAATTAGCGTCTTTCAGAGCCGTTGTTAGTGTCTTTTAGCAAATGTTACCTGGATGGGGAAACATATCAGGAGGCACATGTCTCAGCAGGCACTGGTCTGTCTGATGGGGAGGGGGACAAAGGAGTGTTTGTTGGCAGGAGTCAGGAAAAGTTCAGACCATGGAGAGTTCAACAATGTGTTGAAGGAACAGGCAAGACAGAGCTTGAGGGCTCTTGGGTCCATGCGTTCAGGCTGAAACGATGTAACTTGGGAGTCTATAAAGAGGGAAATGATAACAACAGTGACTAATAAATTCACTGAACATTTCTCATGTGCCCGAAGCTGTGCTATGTCTCTAATCTTCACAAATGTCCTAGGTGAGGCTGAGATAAATTAAATAGGTCATATAACTTGTAAGTGATTAAATTGCCATCGAAACGTAAATGTGTCTAACTCCAAAGGGAAATAACAAACAGCTGAAAAAAGAAAATGCCCCTTTCATTATATTTTCTGGTCTGTAACATCAATTTCTTCCTAACTTTCAACAAACCGAATGGGCACCTATATGTCATTGCAGGCAAAACTCTTCGGGTGCCTTGAAACAAAGCCATACACAGCTGAAAACTCATGACTTGTCCCATATTGGGTGTGGAAGGGTGGTTTCTCTAGTTTGATAAGATCAGGAGGGCCTCTCTGCGACATGCTTTTGTGATAATATTATCTGGCTTAACAGGAGTTCTACAAATAGGGCCCCTTTGAAGGGAACTGTCCCTTCTGCTTTTGAAGTAGGGTGACCACAGCCCTTGAGCAGAGACCTTCAGATATCCTCAGGTGGTGGTTTCATCCAGACTAAACTAGTTACAAACCCTTCCACTTATCTAATAGTTGATGCACTGTGCACACATATATCTTGTTGAATTGAGTAGCACAGCTTTGTGGGATTCACTGGGCAGCATGTGTGATTCCCATTTTATAAATGAGAAAACTGAGACTCAGAAGTTAACTGACATGCTCAAGGTCATAAAGTTAATCTGTGGTTGAGCTAGGACTGGACTTGGTCTGTTTGACTCCTCCTCCCATGTTCTTGACTGAATCAACTCAAAAGCATTCCCTATGTATGAGGCATAGGGAGTACAGAGATGTTTTAGGCTGGGCTCCTACACCCAATAATAGCACGTCTGCTCTAAATGCTTTACTTAAGAGTAACTAATTTAATTCTCTTAACAACGCTAAGAGGGGGTACACTTTTTACTCTTGTTTTATGCATAGGAAAATAGAGATACAAAGAAGCGAAATAGATTTGGGGTTCACATACAGGCGGTCTAGACAGGGAGGCCTCTGACTTAGCCACAGCACCTCACTGCCCCTATGCTCGGGGAAGCTACTGGTGAGAGGAGTGAGATGCTGAATAACAAGGAGACCTATGACAGCCTGGTAACAGCTGGTCATGCCTGCTTGGGTTCAAATACTTGGCCAAGTGCTTAAAACTGTTTGGTCTTGGGTAAGTTTTTTTTTGTGTGTGTGTGTATCAGCTTTTCATCTGTAAAAGGAGATTTTGATATTTCTCACTTCATAGAGAGGTATTATGAGAATGTAATGATTATGTGTGTATGTGTGTGTATGTGCATGCATATGTTCAAGTGTGTGTGTATATGTGTGTAGCTGAGAATAATCCCTGGTCCTCCAGTTAGTATGATTTGAGTATTTGCAATCATCGTCATTACAAGGCCATGAAGTGAACTAATTTCCAGACACATAGCACAGACAAGAGTCACAGATTCTGAGAAGAGGGAGAACTTATTGTCAGCAGGAATGGTCAGGACAGGCTTCAATGAGGAGGTAAGATGTTAAGTGGATCTCGAAGGTTAGAATCACAGACTTGGGAGTTGAAGGGACTTCAGCATTCATGCAATCATACGACTTTATCTCATAGAGGAAATCTAGGACCACAAGGGAGAGGTGATCATGCCATGTTTATCCAGCTAGTTGGGGGCAGGGCCTTGACTGGAACCCAGGTCTCCTCCAAACGATGCCTGTCTGAATTTTTCTGGGCTAGATAAATTAGAAACCCTGCATCCCCAGTCCATACTGGTGCTCCCTCGTGTAGTCCTCACTCCAGTCTAAGTACTCTTTATTACCTTTCCTCTGCCATCCCTTTGGGAGAAATGCAAGTGAGCAATGAATGTGACAGTGACAGGAAAGACCTTCTACAGAAGCAAGGGACTTGATAATCTATAAACTATTTCTGGGTAAAAGCCATGAATATGTATTGAGCACCTACTCTGAGGTGCTCACTAAATTTTCTCAATCTCCACAGTAACTGCTATCATCCTTTGCATAGATAAAAAACCAAAAGGCTTAGTTTTGTAGTATCTTAGTTTTGGTAATTTTCCCAAGATCTCACAAAAAGAAAATGTTTGAGTCAGGATCCGAACAATGGTCTATAAGATTCTTCTATCCACCCACCCACCCATGCACACACCCATCCATACACACACCCATTCATGCACACACTCATCTACCCACCCATCATCCATCTGTCTGTCTGTTCACTCATCTTTCCATCCAAGATACCTTTACTGAGAGTGTGTTCCATATAAGGCAGTGTGCTTTGTGGAATGGAGCTAAGGAGATACATATCCCCTGTCCTCATAGAGCTGAGTGGGGCCTCCTCGAGGGTACTGTTGGGATAGTGTTAGGGAGGAGAGTGATGAGGAAATGGTTTATGTGGAAACTGGGTACTTGGGAAGACCATGACAAAAGGATCAGTGGATTGCTCCCCGACTCCTGCTTCTAAGGTTGCAGATGAGTGCCCAGCTGGCCAGCTGGCCACTGGCATAGTCTGCCTCTTTGTGTAAAAACTAGTGGAATCACATATGTGCTGCTCCCAGATGCAGTCTCGGCACCAGCACCTTCCAAGCAGGAGGTTCTGTCATGGTGCTGCCTGCCAAGCCTTGTCCAGAGGACTGAGGCCACTTGGCCGGTTGCACTGGGTCCTGTGCCTATGCAGAGACTGTCTCACCACAGCGGCTGGGGGCGGCAGGGAAGGGCAAGAGCTTCTTTTGTGTGTGTGTGTGTGTGTGTGTGTGTGTGTGTGTTTAAGCTGGAACGAAGCCCTTTTTCACTGCGCTCTGTACTTGAGATATTTCACTGAGTGGGAGACAAAGAGGCTTTGTGTGCTCTTCAAAGTGCTCTCTGCTGACTGTGATACACATCCAGGAAAAACCCAGACCAAAGCCATGAAGTCACCCCAAGTTCAAACCCAAAATGCAATTTGCAGTGGTTAGAAATGACAAAGGATGGGTGGTAGGATCCAGAGAATAAAACAGTGAAACCCAATGGACCTTAAATAGATCTGAGGGCACTGATTTGATTATTTTCGGTGAAATCTTTTAAGAAAATTGTGCCAGATTCTTCACAGAAAATTTGGTAGAGCCTATGTTTCATCACTGGCCTAGCAAAGGTAAGACCCACTTTAATTTTCTTGGACTATTATTGTTTTTGTTCTTAGGGTGTATGTTAGGGAGAAGAGCAGGGAGGTAGTTTGTCAGATGTTGTTCTTTCCTTGTTAAGCTTCACCTGTTCTTAAGAGCAACTTGCACTTTGTCAGCCACAGAATAGTGCCTGCCGTTCAGGCTAGTGTTTTAGATATAATTGAATTGCTGGGATGCGTTAAACATCACAGGGTTTTTAGCGGAGAAATAATTTAATGATGTGGCCTTTAGGATTGTTAATTAGCACTGTCTGTATGAACATGTAACAATAACACCACCTACCGTAAAAGCGAATGTTCTACACTTCAGAACACTCATTTCTTTAGGGCTTCCCGCAGAGAAGCAGTCATTAACTCTTTTTTTGACAAATGCTTTTAGACATGCTCTGTAGGGCCGTGAATTCACCCTTCCCTCCAATCCTGAATCCTTCTCTGCATTTATCCACAAGGCAAGCTGGCTAACAGGGAAACAAGGAGAACTGTGTGCTCAGCCCTCCAGAGTGGCACGGATTATGAGGAGGTGATGGTCCTTCCCTGCCAAGATCCTGAGACACTGTCACTCTGGAATCCACAAAGAGATTCAGGCAAGGATGTGGGAAAGTTGGAGCCCTGCACGCTGTTGGTGGGAATGCCAAATGGTGCAGCTGCTATGGAAAACAGTATGGAGGTTCCTCAAAAAATTAAAAATAGAATTACCATATGATCCAGCAATCCCACAGGGTATTTATCCAAAAGAATTGAAACGAGGATCTTGAAGAGATATTAGCACTCCCATGTTCATTGTAGCACTATTCACAATAGCCAAGATGTAGAAACAAACTAAATATCCAACAACAGATGAATGGATAAAGAAAATGTGGAACACACACACACACACACACACACACACACACACACAATATTACTTAGCCTTAAAAAAGAAACTCTAAAATATGTGACAACATGGATGAATCTTGAGGACATTATACTAAATGAAATAAACCAGTCAGACAAAGACAAAACTGCATGATTTCACTTATGTAAGATATCTAAAATTGCCAAATTCATAGAATCAAAGAGTGGAATGGTGGTTGCCGGGAGCTAGGTGGAGTGGGAAATGAACAGTTGTTAATCCATGGGCATGCAGGTTTAGTTAAGCAAGATGAATGAGCTCTAGAGATCTGCTGTACAACACTTTACCTATGGTCAATAATACTGTATTGTGCACTTACAATTTTGCTAAGAAGGTGGCCCTCATGTTATGTGTTCTTACAAAGTTTAAAAAGAAAAAATTAATGGGATTAGCTCACTGGAGGAGAGGCTGTTGGCTTGCATCCTGCCTGCCCTGCTGAAGGGAAAGGTCAGGGACTGGTTTCTCTGCTGGAGTTCAGGCGGGTCTTTCTGAGCCATGGGTCTGGAGGAGGCCTGCATAGGCAGCTCGCCACAGGTTTCTCTGGCTTCTTGAGAACAGAGCCTGATAATGATAGAGAGATGAGAGCTTCCCACTCCTTCTTCTATTTACATTAGAACAGCCAAGTGTTTCTTCAACCATCCACCATTCCCTTATGTCACGTGTCTTCTGAAGACACTTTACCTCTTCAGTGAGGCAAGAGCAGCAGCATGAAGGTATTTGAACACTAGATTGTGTCTTGTTCTTCCATCAGCCAAACTTTTCCCTAGCCACGTTCTAGGCCTTGATGCCTCCAGTGAAAATCCAGCTGTGGAAACCTCAGCTTCCAACATCTCACTCTCTGGCCACAGCCCCCTGTCCTACTACCTCTCTTACTCTTCTCTTCTCACAGCCTTGTCTGGCCTCTGGTCCAGAGATGGCAGATGCCTAGTGTGATTGTTGCCACTCTTCCCAGCTCATTGAGAACCTCACAGACTGATCATGCCGCTCTCCTATTAAACCCAGAGGTTGCTTTGGAATCCTCAGCACAGGTTCCATCAACTGGAATTGACGCGTGAGATGAAAACTATTTGCCATTCCAGCTCCATCTCCTTGATCCACTTTCTCTCAGCCCATCAGGCAGGACAGACTCTACACACTTGCATTTGAACTCTTCATGACACTCCTCCCCTTCCCTTGCACACGCACATGCTGTGTCTGTCCAATGATGTGTTCTCTCCACTCTCATGCCCAGAGCGCTAAGTATTGTTGGAGTATTTTGCATTACGATGTATACTTAATGCCACAAAAAATGTGTGGTTTCTACTTCAGAACTGTCTTTTATTTGTTCTTTATTTGTATCTTCTTGCATTTCCCAGAGAAGCCTTCCAGAACCTATCTTGCCTTTTCAGTCCCCCAAACCACACTGCCTCCCCTCCTTGTCTGTCAACCTCACCTCCTATTTCCCTGAGAAAACTGGCAGAGGCTCCCTGTGCCTCCACCCCTACCTCATCCCCCACCCTCTGCCCACATGCACCCTGTCTCTCCCTTTCAGAATCTTTGTTATCTTTCTGCTTAGAGTGCTATGGCCTCCCTCTTCTTTCTCCCGAGATGTTCCTTTTTCTTCCACACTCAGCAAAGGGTCATTTCCTTGACAAAACCTTCCTTTGCTAACTGACCCTCACCACAGGCAGGCTGGGAAGTTCCCTCCTCTCTCTTCCCTCCATATCTCATACATACCTATATTAAGGTATTAATTCCAGAGAATTGTCATCTCTCTCTCTTCTAGTCTACTTTTCATCCCTGACTCTAACAGTATCTGGAATAGGGGAATGATTCAAGTTGTATGTATTGAGTGAATGAATGAATGCATTGGGAAATTGAGGCAGCAAATAGATTTTGTCCATCTCCCAGAATTGGTCATCCCCTCATCCTTCCTGTTAAATTTCACTATCTGCACTTCTCTTTTTACAAATGATACTTATCATTTTCTATCATTGGTGTACTTATTTATGTACAAGTCTTATCATTCCTAGCACACTGCAGCTTCCTTGAGAGAGTTATCTAGATTGAAATCAACTATGTGTCTCCCAAAACACAGGAAGTCACACGTGTTGTTTTTTCAATATTTGTTGGATGAATAATTCTTAAGTTGTCCTTGTATTACTTAGAATAAGGGTCCAATGCAGGCTTGTTGAATTAAACTGAATTTAATCCTTTGTCATAGACATGCTGATGTGGTTTGTTGTGTTCCTACCCAAATCTCATCTTGAATTGTAGTTCCCATAGTACCCACATGGAGGTGTGGGAGGGACCCAGTGAGAGGTAATTGAATCTTAGGGATAGTCACCCACATGCTTCTCTTCTTGTGATAGGGAGTTCTCACAAGATCTGGTGGTTTTATAAGGGGCTTTTCCTCAATTTGCTTGACACTTCCCCTTCCTGCCATCATGTGAAGAAGGACGTGTTTGCTTCCCCTTCCACCATGATTATAAGTTTCTTGAGGCCTCCTCAGCCATGCAGAACTGTGAGTCAATTAAACCTCTTTCCTTTATAAATTACCCAATCTCAGGCAATCCTTTATAGCAGCATGAGAATGGACTAATACAGTAAATTGATACCAGGTAGTGGGGTGCTGCTGTAAAGATACTTGAAAATGTGGAGGCAACTTTAGAGCTGGGTAACAGGCAGAGGGTGGAAGAGTTTGGAGGACTCAGAAGAAGACAAGAAGTTGTGGGAAGGTTTGGAACTTCCTAGAGACTTGTTGAATGGCTTTGACCAAAATGCTGATAGTGATATGGACAATGAAGTCCAGGTTGAGGTGGTCTCAGATGGAGATGAGAAATTTATTGGGAACTTGAAAAATAGTAATTCTTGCTATCCTTTAGTAAAGAGACTGGTGGCATTTTGCCTCTGCCCTATAGATGTTCAGAATTTTGAACCTGAGAGAGACAATTTAAGGTATCGGTGACAGAAATTTTTTAAGCAGCAAGGTGCTCAAGAGGTGACTTGGGGCTGGGCATGGTGGCTCATGCCTGTAATCCCAGTACTTTGGGAAGCTGAGTCGGGCAGATTACTGGAGGTCAAGAGTTCTGAGACCAGCCTGGCCAACATAGTGAAACCCTGTCTCTATGAAAAATATAAAAATTAACTGGGTGTGGGCAGGGTGTGGTGGCTCATGCCTGTAATCCCGGCACTTTGGAAGGCTGAGGCAGGCAGATCATGAGGTCAAGAGATCGAGATCATTCTGGCCAACATGGTGAAACCCTGTCTCTATTAAAAATACAAAGATTAGCTGGGCCTGGTGGTGCACACCTGTAGTCCCAGCTACTGAGGAGGCTGAGGCAGAAGAATTACTTGAACCTGGGAGGCAGAGGTTGCAGTGAGCTGAGATTGTGCCACTGCACTTCAGACTGGTGACAGAGCAAGACCCCATCTCAAAAAAAAAAAAAATTAGCTGGGTGTTTTGGTGCACACTTGTAATCCCAGCTGCTCGGGAGGCTGAGACAGGAGAATTGCTTGAGCCTGGGAGGCAGAGGTTGCAGTGAGCCGAGATTGTGCCACTGCACTCCAGCCTGGGTGACAGAGTGAGACTCCACCTTGAAAAAATAAAATTAAATAAATAAATAAAAGGTGTGACTTGAATGTGGTTAAAAGCATTCAGTTTTATGTATTCACAAATATATTGTTTGGAAATGGAATTTATGTTTAAGAAGGAAGCAGAACATAAAAGTTTGGAAAATTTGCAGGCTGACAATGTGATAGGAAAGAAAAATCCATTTTCTGAGGAAAAATTCAAGCAGGCTGCAGAAATTTGCATAAGTAATGAGGAGCCAAATGTTAATTACCAAGACAATGAGAAAAATGTCTCCAGGACATGTCAGAGACTTTCACAGCAGTCCCTCCCATCACAGGCCAGGGGTCCTAGGAGGAACAAATGGTTTCGTGGGCTGAGCCCAAGGCCTTGCTTCTTTGTGTGATCTCAGGACTTGATGCCCTGCATCCCAGGCATGGCTAAAAGGGGCCCAGATACAGCTGGGACTGTGGCTTCAGAAGGTGCAAGCTTTTAACCTCAGCAGTTTCCATGTGGTATTGAGCCTGTAGGTACACAGAAGTCAAGCACTGAGGCTTGGGAACCACTCCCTAGAATTCAGAGGATGTATGGAAATGCCTGGATGTCCAGGCAGAAGTTTGCAGCAGGGACGGAGCCCTCATGGAGAACCTCTGCTAGGGCAGTGTGGAAGGGAAATGTGGGGTTGGATCTCCTATACAGAGTCCCTACTGGGGCACTGCCTAGTGGAGTTATGGGAAGAGAGCCACTGTCCCACAGATCCCCAGAATGGTAGATCTGCTGACAGCTTGCACCATGCACCTGAAAAAGCTTCAGACACTCACTGGCAGCCCATGAAGGAAGCTGGGAGGGGGGCTGTACCCTAAAAGCCACAGGGGCAGAGCTGCCCAAGGCTGTATGAGCCCACCTCTTGCTGGATTTTGGACTTGCATGAAGACTGTAGCCCTTCATTTTTGCCAATTTCTTCCATTTGGAACAGGCATATCTACCTAATGCTTGTATCCCTATTGTATCTGGGAAGTAACTAACTTGTTTTTGATTTTACAGGCTTATAGGTGGAAGGGACTTGCCTTGTCTTAGATGAGACTTTTGACTTGGACTTTTGGGTTAATGCTGGAATGAGTTAAGACTTTTGGGGACTGTTG